GCACCCCATCCGTGTCTTCGAGGAGAGCACGTCCTCCGACATGCAGCAGCCCACCTTCAGCCTCGCCGCCCACATCCCGCGGGCGCACTCGCAGGACGTCAACTGCGTGGCCTGGAACCCGAAGGAGCCGGGCTTGCTGGCCTCCTGCAGCGACGACGGCGACATCGCCTTCTGGAAGTACCAACGCCCCGAAGTTTGCTGAGAGGTTCAATCCTCTTGTGCGTCCCCCCACGTAGCAGCAGGACCCTTCGGCGCTGCCACCAGCACCCAGCCCCGTGCCGGTGCCGAGAGCAGGGCCGGGAAGAGGGAGATCAACCGCCTCTGCCCCACGAATTGGGATTTTTGCATGCCCAGGACCGCGGGGCTCCCACCAGCCTCCCCGGGGATGCACATGGTGCCTTTGCCGGGATGCGGCTGGTTTTGGGAGACGGGACAGGACTGGTTTCCCCATCCTTCTGCCCCATGCTCAATAAATCGGTGCTTTCCTGGTCAAAGCCTCTTGCTCTCCCTTGCGGTGCCGTTGCCGAGGTGCCCGTCGCCCTCAGGACGAGCAGAACCGGGTGTAGGTGCTCCCCTGGGGGGCAGACGAGGCAGCACAGGACAGAGCCTGGTGAAGCGCAGCCCGAGGGGAAGCGTTTAGGTCCGCCGGCACAGTGCTCCCAGAAAGGGCTACTAAACTAACCCTGCCTTAATTAGTTCTGCTAATAAACTTTGGCGAGCCCCACAGCGAAGGCACAGAGCAGGGGACAGCCTTTTTCTTCTCTTTCCCACCCCAGACCCAGCAGTGCAGAGGGCAAAACAGGTATCACGATTTATTCCAGCTGCCACAGTCACGCTTCCGCGCGCAGCTCCTGTCTATAAAAACCACTGTACAAAGCATCAACACCTTAAAAAGGAAAATACACAAAAGCCACACCAAGGGAGGCGACACGAGCGCTACCGCGGCTGGGGTTTGGTGGCTGAACTACGGGGGGATCCTCGCCGGGATCGGCGGCACCACATTAGTCGGAGTCGCTGTCGCTCTCCGCTTCCTTCACGTCCACGCTGAACTTGTACTCCTGGTCGCAGCCCATGTAGGCATCGCTCATGAAGTACAGCGTGTAGTTGTGCGTCCCCGTAGCCGGGGCCACGAAATCCAGCTTCACCTACGTGGCGAGGAAGAGCCGGCGTTGGGGTGGTAGCGGGGAGATCGGACACCCGCCCGGCTCCCCCCAAACCGCATCCGTTTGGGTGCCGGCCGCCCCCCTGCCCCGACCCGCTCACCTTGGCTTTCTGCTGCAGCGTCAACCTCTTGATGGAGATGAGGCTGTTGGATTTGGAGTCGCCGATCACCACCCACCAACCCTCCTCGCGTTTCTGCCGGAGAGGTAAGAGTTAACGGGCTGGGGGCAGTGGGGGACAATTCCCCCCAAATTCTGCCACCCCAGTGTCACCGGGTTTGGCACGTACCTGAGGGAACAGGGGAGCAATGACAGGCCCGGTGACCTCCTCTTCACGCTCCAGCTGCACCAGCACCACCACGGGCCCCCCGCTGTGCGGAGAGAACCGAGACTGAGGGTCAGGGCGTCCCTCCCCGTGCCGGCAGAGCGCCGAGGGGGCCGCGCCGCCCCTCCCCGCCTCACCTGCGGATGCTCTCCTTCTCCACCACCTCGTAGGAGAGCTCGATGTTGGGGTAACGGTTACAGAATCGAGCGACGTCGGCTATCTGGGCATCCGAGAGCTGCAGCAGGGCGTTCCGGTCCTCGTCCTCCATCTCCATGATGTCGAAGACGCTCTCCACCCCCTGCAAGGAAGATGTTCTCAGCCCTGTGCTGACCCAGGGCTTCTCAGTGGGCGAGGGCAGGACCACAGCACTTCTCCCCCAGCTTTACCTTGTCCGTGCAGCGCTTGATGTGCTCAGAGGTGAAGTGAGGCAGCTGCTTGAGGTAGGAATCCTTCGACCACATGGCCTGTGTCACCATCTGAGCCA